CAAATTATTGCATAAACTTTTTAGTTTCGACTGGTCTCTTTAAAACGTTCAGTCATGTCAAATTTGGCTACTAACGGCCGATGGTCCGATACCATCCGCCAGTAATCGACGAGATCCCTTTCTTCTCTTAGTAATGTAGGTGACTGCACAGAGTGCCAGTCGTGTCCAAACTGTGGACGCTTTAAGCGTGCAACGTCCGGCAATTGACGTGGCACGAGGTGGCAGTCGACGGGTTGAAGGTGCAGTATAGAATTATCACGAACAATTCCATCGCCTTTGATTTCTTGACCAATTTTTATCCTATTGCTGAAGATAAAGTCGACACTCACCTCGCTGTTGTTGTGATTACAGTGAGTTATTCGCGCCTCTCGCCCATGTAAATGAGCAAATATACTGTAAAATTTGTGATTTGTTACGAGTCTGTACACGGGATCGTTGTAGTCGTTAAAGTCCCCACATAGCAACACCGGCATATTAAATAATTCTTTACGTGCCACGTACTTGCGCATTGCCAAAAGCACGCGATTGATTTCATTTAGACGCAGACTCGTGTACATGTCACTGTGAGGGAATGTCAAATGCGAATTGACGATCAATAATGAGCGCTGACTCAGTGGCACTATCTTGCGGTTCCATTTTGTTGCCACATGCAGAAGCAGCGCCACGCGGTCGCCCGCTTCCTCCACAAGATCGACACTTTCTACATTATGAACCTCCAGCTTGCTTTTATCCACGAATATAGCGAGTCCGTCCTGCTTATCGCCTGGTCGTTTGACTGTGTGAATTTGGTGTGTCCGCTGGAACGCTTGGCGGAAGGCGCATTGATAATCGTGGTCGAACCAAAATTCTTGCAGACAAATGACGTCGCACTTTTCGCGCTTGATGGCACTGATGGCGGCTTGGGCGCGAGCTAAAAAAGAAGTTGAATAATCACTCTCCAAACGACCACCGTGTCGGAAATAGCACGGAGCTAGGAGGTTGAACGTCATGAGCGACAGCGACCGTCGACGACGCATTGCCTCGATTAGCTCACTTCCAATAGCCATGTGTCACACACAGTTGATATATCTGTAAATTTTGGTCTAGCAATGTGAAGGAACGTTTTGTTTGTTTTACATTATGTCGTTAAAGAGCTGCTGATAATTCTGGCCAATGAAGTGCTTGTAGGTAACAATATATCTTGTCTCGCATGACTAGTAAGGGTGTGGTCAAGCAGCGACAAAAGCGCAAGTCGCTGGCTGAAGACTATGGAGGGGCTGTGGGTGAGGATCTTCTCGAGTACATGGAGAGCGAGGAAGCCACTGGTGGCTTGCAGCAGTCCGTGGACAGTGTAGGAGCCTCCAGCAACTTATCACGCCGCATCCAAAATCGTCTACAGAAGCTGAACGAAGTGGCACAGACTGTGGGTGGAAATGGCGAGGAATCTGGTTACTATGACTTCTCGACTCTTGATATGAAACCCGATCATGAGGCTCGTCCTGTTTGGGTCTGTCCCAATGGCCGCATCTTTCTCGAAGCCTTTTCTCCCATTTACAAACAGGCTTATGACTTTCTTGTGGCTATTTCCGAACCAGTATCTCGTCCTGAATTCCTTCACGAATACAAACTAACACCTTATTCGCTCTATGCAGCCGTGTCAGTTGCAATTGAGACTGAGAGCATTCTAAAAGTGCTTGGAAGATTGTCGAAAAATCGCCTGCCTGACGGCATCGTGGCCTTCATCAAGGACTGTACGCTAAGTTACGGCAAGGCCAAACTTGTGCTGCACCATAATGAGTATTACGTTGAAAGTCTGTACCCAGACGTGCTACGAAAACTACTAGAGCATGAGCATATCCGAGCTGCGCGTGTCAAGGAGACAACAGAGACCATTGCAGACCACGCTTCAGCGGCCACTGCACCGGCCGTTGCTTCTAATGGGGCAGGATCTGAAACTGCAAATGAGTTTATTCAAAAGGAAATTTCTGCTGAAGACCAGGCTAATTTGCAGTATCAAAAGCTATTAAACGAAGACTACAACCTGGTAGACGAAAATCACCCTGGAAAAACAATTAGCGATCGGCAAAAGACCGTGCGTACGGTTTCATTCAAAATTCGTAAATCAATGGTGGAACAGGTAAAACGGGCATGTTTAGATCTTGACTACCCGCTAATGGAAGAGTACGACTTTCGCAATGATAAAACAATTCCTGATCTCGAAATGGATCTTAAGCCCACTACACGTATTCGTGAATATCAGGAAAAATCGTTAAGTAAGATGTTTGGTAACGGACGGGCTCGATCGGGTATAATTGTGCTGCCGTGTGGTGCAGGTAAGACGCTGACAGGTGTCACGGCGGCGTCGACGATTAAAAAGTCATGTTTGTGCCTTTGTACATCTGCCGTGTCGGTGGAACAATGGACGGCGCAGTTTAAAATGTGGACAAATATTCCAGAAAAGAAAATTTCGCGCTTCACTTCTGTGGCGAAAGACTTCATTGACCCAGAATCGGGTGTCATTGTAACCACATATACAATGGTCGCTTTCGGTGGACGCCGCGCTCGCGCTTCAGAAGAGGTTATGCAACTCATTCAAGGACGCGAGTGGGGATGCATTTTACTGGATGAAGTTCACGTTGTACCCGCTAAGATGTTTCGCAAGGTCATTGGCTCTATTGCCTGTCATTGCAAGCTTGGTTTAACCGCTACTTTGGTACGCGAGGACGATTTGATCGGCGATTTGAACTTCTTAATTGGCCCGAAGTTGTACGAAGCCAATTGGATGGATCTGACTCAAAGTGGATTCCTTGCGAATGTCTCATGCGTCGAGGTTTGGTGTCCTATGGCCGGAGAATTTTATCGTGAATATTTGCGCGAGAGCAAAAGCGCTCGTAAGCGTGCACTGCTCTATGTGGCGAATCCAAACAAATTTACAGCCGCTGAGTTTCTGATCCAGTACCATGAGGAGCGAGGTGATAAGATCTTGCTCTTTTCAGATGATGTTTTTGCTCTCCGTCTTTACGCGACAAAGCTGAACAAGGGCTATATTTACGGCGGTACCGGAGAGCGCGAGCGAATGCGCTTGCTACAATCATTTCGAAGCTCGCCCCTGGTAAACGTTATCTGCATTTCGAAGGTTGGTGATACGTCAATCGATTTGCCCGAGGCTAATGTTATTATTCAAGTGTCGTCGCATTTTGGTTCAAGACGACAAGAAGCGCAGCGCCTTGGACGTATATTGCGTCCCAAGGCGAATGCAACGGGCGGGTTTAATGCCTTCTTCTACACACTTATCTCAACGGATACGCATGAAATGTTCTACTCCAACAAGCGCCAACAGTATCTCGTGGACCAGGGATACACGTTTAAGGTCGTGACAGATCTTTTCGAACCAGGTTCGTTTGAGGGTGTATTTACGCGGAAAGAGGACCAAAGGGCGCTGTTAAATGAAGTCTTAAGCGCTGATGTTGAAAGTGCTGCCAAGGACGAAAACGCTGCAATTCGAGACGACGAAGATTTGTCGCGTCTTGAACTTTCAGGCAATGGCCGCAAAAAGAAGAGGTTAACCTCGCTCGGAGCTCTTTCCGGCGCAGATGGCACCAAATATATGGAATATTCCGCTGGACACGGCGCCAAGCAGCGCCACAATCTTTTTCGCGATCGGTATCGTTAGACATGCACGAAGACAATAAACTTGACAAGAAAGTCGCGTAATATAGTGTTTGCCTCAAGTATCAATAACCGTTGCCCAAAGCTACACATTAGTATTCGTACTTATGTGAGGAATTAGGATTAATTCAGCGAGAGCTCAAAAATATTAAGATAGGCCAAGCTGTCGAAGCTTAGCGCTCGAGGAAGCGTTATTTGGGTCACCGACCTTTCGTTCTATACTTAGAACAAGTACGAGTTATTGGATCGCAAGAGTAATCATTGCCTTCCCAAGTCTTTGGTTTAAAATCCAAAAATAATTTTAGTTTCTTTTTTATCCTAATTATAAAGTTAGATTTTCCAAAATATACTAAATATAAACAGCAAAATCTAAATCCATGCATAACTGGCTACCTAACCACATACCGCATTCTTGTTTGGATGAAGTCACACTATGCACATCTCGTGTGACACACACCCCTGTTACCAGGGTACGTATAACCCCGTTACACCCTCCCCCATTAAGATTGAGAGCATTTACAGTTCCAATCAAATTGCCTCAACGAGGCACGCGTGTCCGCTAGACACTGCAACTCAATTCGTTGGAATCAAACAACTTCCTTGCTAAATGAGCCCTGTTTCCACGACACGGAAGTCACCAAGTTTCGCTGGTTCTGACAGCGGGCACGGGCAGAGTCCAACTTCGTCTCCCACACGCGGTGCGATGTCGGACAGTGCGTCCGCGGCACCGGGGGATGTACATCCTAGGCTCGATGAGCACAAGCGTCGTGCTTTGCGCACGCTATGAATGACATATTACCTCATTAGAGATGTGAAAGTGGTCAATTACGAGTCTGACACTCCTTTTCCCGCATGGGATGATGAGAAAGACGAGCTGCGCCAGCAGCGTAATACGAGCCCTGCTCGCGCCTTGCGGACCCCATGTCTG